TTTGTATCCAGGAAACTCCTGCTCCTTCACTTTACATGACACGAAGACGAAATTTATTGGACACATTGACAATGCTCTCCTGAATATTGCAATGTGCTCCTTTTGCGCAGAAAGTCTGTTACCATGGCAACAGCGTGCTGACGATAAGGCTCAAAATTTGTCTTTTTTCGGCCATTTTAAAAATCCTTTTGGGAAATTTTTTTTAGTTTTTCGACTGTTGTACACGTCAGTCTACAGGAACATAGCAAAGCATCTGAAGTTGGGGGTTGACAGAGGATTTTACCTGAAATTTGAATTTTTAATTTATAAATATTTACCTAAAGTGTAATAATTATAATAAAGCTTCTTGTGATAATGACTTGCACTGTCATACTAAGTTTCGGGAGAAAACGGGGATTTGGGGATCCTCCCCCACAAAAAAATTGTTCCATTTTGGAGGCTCTAGGACTGCAATTCTGGCGTTTTCTAAAGCAAATTCGCAAACAAATTGGATGTAAATTGACTGTATATTTTACAAAAATGGTTATCATTTCACATAAATAATTACTTTATCACGCAAATTTTACCTGAAAATATCAAAATTTGTGTGTGTGTGTGTGGGGGGGAGGGGGGATACAGTCACAAGTTTCACCCTTTTCCTTCGGTAAATTGTTTTAAAACTTTGCAGATTTCTTAATATCGGCTAAACAAGCTCAATATCCTTTTTTCTTAAAATTTTATTGCAGGGAATAATCTAAGAAACGTTCCATAAAATTTTTTAAAATTGAAGAAAAAAATCATTATACGAGAACTGATCGTTTGTGCAAATTTTAAAATTTTTAAAACGGCTGGAAAAAGACAAAATTTGAGCTTAATTATCCAAAGCACGCTGTCACCATGGTAACGGACTTTCAGCGTAAAAGTAGTTAATTGCAATGTTCGGGAGAGCCTTGTTAATGTGTCCAATAAATTTCGTCTTCATGTCATACTGTCATGTAAAATGAAGAAACAGGAGTTTTCTCGATACAAAAGTGTAGTATAATGCAAAAACCCTATGGAGCCACCTTAAAATAGGTTTTTATTATTATTTTATGACTTTTAAACACAGAAATCACTCGTGGTCATTCGTGGTCACTCGTGGTCACTCGTGGTCATTCGTGGTCACTCGTGGTCATCCGTGGTCACTCGTGGTCACTCGTGTGTACTTTTAGACAAGACCATTCGAATTATATAGAGTTAAATGGCAAATTCCGTACAAACTAACCTCTCTACAAATACTGAAAATGCAGAATTACCAAATAGATTACATTTAACCGTTGTCTGGTCAGTTATAAATACACAGCATGACGTCATGTGGTAAGAACAAAAAAGTATTTTGCAAATTTCAAAATTTTGCAAATATACATGCGTTCATGATTTATACAAATAACGAAATTCTATCGGCGCGCTTAAGTCACGTGCTGAATTCTGATTAGCTAAGCTTAGAATGCGCTAGACGGTAATAAGGAAAACTAAAAACTTATCAAAACAGTCAAAAAAACATTGTTTTAGAGAAATAAAAACGTGTGCATGATAAAAGGCTATTATTTAGTTTTGAGCGACTGTGGTGATACCCTGGGTGCCAGAGCCTCTTGTGATAGAAGTGAGGACACGACGACGAGGCTCTGGTCACACGAGCATCCATCCTCACTTTGTTGAGTTCAATATTTGAACTCTGTTTGTGATTGGTTTAAATTTATGTGAGTCTTTTCATTGGTTAACCGACGCTCATCGGTTAACCAATGAAAAGACTCACATAAATATAAACCAATCACAAACAGAGTTCAAATATTGAACTTAACAAAGTGAGGCTGGATGCCAGTGTGACCAGATCCTCCTCGTCGTGTCCTTTATCACAGGAGGCTCTGGCACCCAGGGTACTATGGCGATTGAAAAGCACTTAAACATTTTCCTAAGTGAAGAAACCAGCTGCTGGAAAACGTGACATCGACAGGGTCAAATGACTCAAATAGTATTTGCTTTCGAAAACCGGATTGAATTTGAAGTCGCAGCTGAATGACTGAATGAGACTTGCCGAGTTCCTAGTTTTTATAAGTGATATTAATTTGTACATTTATCGAAGGTAATTTATTGATGTTTATAGATTTAATTCCATGAATTCATTCAATTTGTATAAATTCAGTGGAATTTTCAAATATTTAATTTCGACATTTTAAAAACTAATGACGTAATTCCGTGCGTCTGTAATCTAATAGATCATGGCTCTCGACCAATGAAATCGTATGAATTCTTAAGGTTATTATATAATAGTCACTAGCTAAAATCAAGTCAACATTACGCTCAATACTTCCACAGACTTTGATTTATAGCCAGCGACTGAAGCAAGTTTTATTTATTTATTTATTTATTTACTTTGCCATCATACTTATACATATTCATTGACTGGGAAACTACAACAGCTATTGCCAATTACAGCGACCCCAATAGTTATACAGAAACAATTTACAAGGTATACTAAACACACACAACAGACAATACTTGAACAACAGTCATTACATTTGTCTAAAAGCAGCATGTCAATGGAGAGTTCATTAAACTTCGAGCGGAATTACATTTTATACACACACTTTTCCATGTCCGGGGATCCTCATCATCGTATGTATTTTCTAATGCTAAAATATAGTACTTAAAAAGAAGATTCTTGAATTCTGAAAATGTTCGGTCTTTGGATGTAATATAATTGGGTAGTGTGTTCCATATTCTTGATGTTCGGATTTTGTAAGATTTTTCATAGGTTGACATCTTGTATGTCGGAATTTTATATTTGTGCGAGTTAGGATTAAATGATCTTGTCTGTCTTTGACCCTGAGGTCGAGGAAATGGAAGGATTTTTTATCAATATTAAAAATGTCGTGATTTGCCTTAGGGCCTGTTCATATGACCCCGCTTACCGGGACGTCTCGCTTACCGATGATCTCGCCGCCTATCTATTTTCCTATAAAATTTTGCATTGTGTTCATATGAGAAAGCGAGCTGGCCCGCTTGCCGAGATCTCGTTTGAATTTGCCGAGATCATAGGTAGGCGGGACGAAAATTTTTCCATATGAACACGCCAGCCCGCTTACCTACCAGGATGAAGTGAAACAAGTCTTGCCGGTTTAATTTAACACTTTTTACTTGGTTTTATGTTTGTTTTGTAAACAAGTATTAAATAACCACCTGAAGCAATACTTTTTCTTGTAAATAAACGAAGAAAAACACTAAAATCGCTAAGTATTTGTGTTGCTTGACTGAAATGTAGAAGTTTTGCATACGCTAATTATAGAACTACAATGTAATTTCATCTCGGCAAGCGGGATGAAATACTCCATATGAACGCACGGAAATATTCGTCTCGGTAAGCGAGACGTCCCGGTAAGCGGGATCATATGAACAGGCCCTTATAGAAGAATACTACATCCAGGTATTCGTGCCAGTAGCTGACAGGGAGCAAACTGGTTGCAAGGAGTCGGTCTCTATACTCTATGTCACAAATAAAGGGAACATTTAAAATATATTTTGTTGCACGCCTCTGAACTCGTTCTACTTTTTTCACCAACTCAACTGTTTGGGGCGCCCATACTTGGGTGGCATATCCTAAGTGTGAGCGAACCAGAGAAAGGTACAGTGTTCGTCGAATTGCAAGCTCGTGAATATTGAAAGTTGATCTTCGGATATAACCCAGCATTTTATTAGCTTTGTTACTTTGTTGTGTAACTTGCTTTGACCAAGTGAGATTGTAATTCGTCCATACACCCAAATCGAGTTCGCAATCAGTCCTTTCCAGTGTGATATCTTGTAGTTGATAAGGGAAATCTATTTTGTTGTGTTTCCTGGTGACCTGGAGGGTTTTACATTTTGATGTGTTAAGATGCAGACCAGCATTGGATGAGGAGGAATTAAAGTTGCAAACGACCTACCATATTCTCTGATTTGAGGATTTACAGCATCGCGTAACATAATTCACTGTACAGTTTATTACTGCAAAAGCCATATTTCAACGTGATATGCAAATTACGAAGTAAGTAGAATAAATCATGTCCATGACTTCTGGCCATGAAATTTATTATATGCATGACAAAATCGAAATCGCGGAAATCAAAATCGCGGAGCATGCTAAGTAATGCTTGTGTTGTAGGTGAATGCTATAATCGATGTCTGGTTGATTAGTTTTAATCAATGCGTCCATAGTAATTATGAACCAACCTAAGGCCATGTTTACATTATGTTGGATAGCGACGCAAAAACCATATCGCATAGGGATATGTTGTGTTTACATATAAAAATAATGATATCATCGTATCAATAGACAATTTCAGTTATCGACCAATTTGTTATCTCAAAAATGGCTATTTTTACCGCGCGTAATACTAAAGTAGCCTACTTAAAATTTGCTTATTTTACAGGGCTATATTTTCCGTATTGTACAATATTTCGCAACCAAACTTTGCAATTTAACTAATTTTAGGATGCTCTTTTGAGCTATAATGATATATTTCGTCTTCCTTATCTAGATAAAAATTAGTCGATAGCTGCTGGAATTGTCTATTTCTGCATCGAAGAGCCTGTGCGGCGCTCCGCTCTTCCAAGTGGTGCGTGTTGTGCCGGATTGTGTTTTGCAATGACGCTGTCATTGCATATAATGTATTAAACAACAACCGTAGCTTTGAGTTGAATTCTTGATTCAAGATGGCATCTAGGAAACAAACACTTGCTGTGCTAACCTTATTTATGGGTATACGTTGATTCTGTGGTCATTCCATGTTTCCGTTCGCTGTTTTAAAGACAGCCACGCGTTGTCATCAATAATAGCAAACTCTCTCGCTATATACGCATAAAATTTACCCGTAACAACCGATTCAATTTTAAATATTTCCCAAAGAGATTTTCCGAGGTGTTCTGTAACCTTAATCAACTTTTGTATGTTCTGCTTATTTGTGTTAGATCTACGCATTTAATCTTACTTGTTTGTTCTTTTCAAGGTCAGTCCTGGTTACATCAAGGAGGCGAACGCACTTTGTGAAAAGCATTTTGGTTCAACGTTTGGTCCGCGTCTAATAAAAGGTTTTGACAAAGAGATTGTATTTGGTGTCGAGAACTCACAGAGCGAAGAAGATGAAGGAATTATTAATCTGAGAAGTGTTATTAGAACTGATGCATCAAGGAACTTTCCGTTCGTGAACGAGAAGCTTCCCCTTCAGTGGCTTCTCTGTGAGGAGGAAATAATAAAATATCGACAAAACCCAAACAGCAAGATGTGTAAAACTTTGGCTGAATTTAAGACGCTACTAGAAGAAAGATGTATGGTAAAGTTTACTGATGATGAATTTCATTCCATGATATCTTTTTTTCACGATAGTGGGCTAATCCTATTGCCAGGTAAGTTACTTAGTTTTGTTCTGTCGAAATCGATGTCTGCATGTCTGTGTGAAGACGCGTTATAAAAAATCTATCTGTTTTATCGTTTTGCTGGCTTGGTTTATTTTATTACTTTTTGCTTCGTAAAATTCGCCTTTGGCGCCGAAGTCCCTTTATTTGCTTGTTTTTATTTGTTTACATTTGTGTTTCCGTTGCTATTAATTTTGAACGGTTTATTTGTCGCTTTGAGTCAGGCATTTAGACACAGGGGGCCCCACTATGAGTTATGATTGAAATAATATTGTATTTATTTTTAAAAACCTACTTGAATCCCTTGATACTCGATTATTTCTTCTCTCGAAGTTCTGTAAACATTTCGAACTGCTTGGAGTCATTATACTATCACTCTACGTGACGTTTCACGAAGTATAGATGATCGCTGACAAGTAAGAACGCGGGCGCGAAAAGACGAAGGCGGCGAAAGAAGGGAAAATTAAACTAAAGGGTTGAAACTTCGGCGCGTCATCGTTTGATGTGTTCCATAAGTAGGTTGTTCTCCGGCAAAATTCGCACGGAGCCCCAATGTGAGTTAGGATTGAAAAAATATTGTATTTATTTTTAAAAACGTACTTGAATCCCTTGATCATCCATTATTTCTTCTCTCGAAGTTCTGTAAACCTTTTAAATGGATCGGACTCATTATACTTGACGTCACGAGAACAACCTACTTTTGGAACACATTGTGCGAAAAAAACCCTTCGAGTGTTTCATGTAAAGACACACGAAAAATCAATCGTTTATTGAATCTACTACATCAGTTGTGAAGATATATCCAAAAAGACATAGAATCTGAAAAAAAATATTCGAGAACACAAATAAAGTGTGAATTTTAAGGCATTTAGAAATGTCATCTAGTCTAAGTTTCAACCCTTTAGTTTAATTCTCCCTTCTTTCGCCGCCTTCGTCTTTTTGCGCCCGCGTCCTTACTTGTCAGCGATCATCTATACTTCGTGAAACGTCATGGAGAGTGATAGTATAATGACTCCAAAAAGTTCAAAATGTTTACAGAACTTCGAGAGAAGAAATAATCGATTATCAAGGGATTCAAGTAGGTTTTTAAAAATAAATACAATATTATTTCAATCATAACTCATAGTGGAGCCCCCTGTGATTTAGATGTTGTATTTCTCACTGGAGTTTCCGTTAGACTGATTCTTTTTATTGGTTAGCTTTACTTTGTAGTTGTAAGCAGGGTCTTAGTTTGAATGCCGTTTTACCACGCGCATTTATAAATAATTAGCCCGTTCATCTTATCTATAGCTGTGGTTTTCCATTTTTTCCAATAATGGAAACGAACGCGACTCATTATTTATGTAAAGCCTTGTATGTTCATAAATTAAGTGTTGCTACTTACAACATGCAGACAGAATTACCTCATATTGCCGCAAGAAAGTTTGTAAAATCTAGTTGTGTTGAAATTAGCAATGTGATCAGTGATAATTAATGTTTTGATGGATATGCATTGGGAACCATGTTAAACTTGCTTTAAATGACCCCAACTAGACTTGCTAAAATAACTTGTTTTAATGTCAGAGTGAAATACAGTATAAGCGTATGCTCGCATTGTGTTTGGTTGTAAAGCATAACACAAACACAGGCAGAGTCTTTGGTTGGCGAGCATAACTGGTATAATTGTGTTTTTGCTATTCAAAGTCATTGGCATGTACACACCCTGGATATTTTACAAACACGCCCAAGTTATAAAATCCTATCTGAGACCCTAGTTGTAGGTGATTGGTAAGTGATTTGTTAAAAAATTGTTTCCCTGTATTTTTATAGGAAATATGTCTGGTGTCCAGGAAGGGTCGGTGGTAAACGACTTAGTGATACTCTCTCCCCAATACTTAGTCGATATCATGACCAGCATTCATGACGTCCCGAAGGATCGCAATTTCCAACGGCAGTTCTCGGACGAGTTTCGCAAACTTGAGACGAAAGGTCGAATCGACAGCCATGTTCTGGAATATGTTTGGAAGAATAAAGAAGTCAACGCTGAAATACTTGTCGAACTGTTGTCGTGCTTCAATATACTTTATCCCCTCAGCAATGAAAAGGAAATAGGTGAGCAATCAGGAACGGAATATATAATACCATGTATGTTAAAGAACAGATCAGATGAACGGTGTGAAAAGCGATGGCAAAAAGCCTGTGAAACGTGGAAAGGTGAATGGGATAAAGAGCATCACTTTGTTTTTGATTTCGGCCGCTTTCTTCCACCTGCATTGTTCCACTACTTGTTGGTTCACATATATCGCCACAGCTGCAAGACAAAGGCGATAAAACCTACTATTGAAAGACAAACAGCGATTTTTTCCTTTTCAAACCAATTCTTGTTTCGTTTGAAGTTGGTTCCAGAACATTGCCAGATATGGGTCTATTCCAGGTAAGCAACAGATTACCTTGCCAATTACTTACGGGGTGAATAGAAAAATCCAGAGCCTTCGAATCAAGTGTAAATTTTGAAAGCAACGCTTTGTTTACATTTTGTTTAAAGCTTATTCATTTAGCTTCTCCACGGTACCATACATTTGAAATTAAACAATTGGTTCACGAATAATATTTTGAAATTTGACATGATGTGCCAAATCAATACTAAATTATTTTGAGAGCAAAGCGAAAAATGTAAAGTTTTTTTCGCAATGGTTCATCAAGAACGGAAAAACTATATTACAGCATTCATTTAGTAACTTCCATGTATTATTGCACCTTGGACACAAATGACACCTTACTCGAAAAAGAAAAGGACAAACTTTAATTAAAATTTTCTTGTTTGTCATGTTACTCTGAGTCATGTGCATCCGCAACACATCACAAACAGATTAACATCACAAACATCATATTCAGCTGAGTACATAACACCAACACACACAAATATCATAAAATTTTCTTGTTTAACCAAGAAACTCGGTTAATATAACATTCCTGGTTGAATCTCCTGGTATAGTCTGGTTAACGTAACCATGAATTTGGTTATATTTAACCAGGACATCTTTCTTAATTTCGCCAGGCTATGTTACAGTAGATGGATGGATAAACCATGCAGGTGCCCCTGGTTATATTTTTTGCTCGTGTTGCGCGTTACCATGGCCACCACATGCAGCGAACTTTATTTGTCACCCAGGTATGGCATTTTTGAGAGGCGTTATGTTCGTCTTGGAAAAAACTTCTGTCACTACTGTTTCACGGCTGACAGTCACTCAAACTTGTTTCTGTTTGAAAGTTCGTTTAATTAGCCTAATTACCTGTAAAATTTTGCAAACGTTTCCTCACGAAATTTACATTTGGACATTGTTAATATAATAAAGTTTGTTAAAATGATAGTTAAACTTCCCACGTGACATTAGCAAAATGAAATATTTTATTTTAGCTAATCACCAGCTTGATAGATATTTTATCCACTCTCGGATTGCGCATGCGCATAACGATGAAAACCGTCTAACGTCCATAACATAATGGCGAATGACTTTGCACTTCGCTATATTCGTACATTCGCGTGCGTAAATAGGCGAGCAGATTATTGCCCGGGACGGCGTTGACTTGCTGGGATAAACAATTGTAGTTGACGGCGCTTTTGTAATATCATGACTTGTCAAGGTGAAGTCGTTGAAGCCATTTGCCATTAGTCAAAGACGAATGAAAACGAATGCTGACACTAATCGATAACATTTACTGATACCTTAAAAATTTCGGATCTTACCAAAAACTGAATGCAGTATTTTTAGGCCCGTGGTGTGGGTACATGTATTCAATCCCGTCTGTTAGTTACACCTGGGTAACGGAAAGCTAGCCGGGATGAGAAGGCAATGATTGCAAGTGCATGGCTGTATTTCAATTAGGCACGGATGTAAAATAGTAAATTTAGCCTTGTAATTGACTATTTATTTGGATACACATGCAGTCTTTTTGGCGTTCGTAATTTATCAATGGGTTATAAATAAATTTCTTATTTTCCCTTCAGATGCAAGAAAGGCGAAAACTTCCTTGATTTGGCTCATATATTGAGGAAAAAGGTATCCGAAATATGCCAGCAATATTTCAAATACTTAAAGTTTGTATTTGGCCCTGTATGTCCTCGCGAAAATTGTCCAGGTGCCACATTCCATGTAGAAAATATACAACGACCTTGCGAATCAAGTTCTTCGGAAAGTGAAGAAAATTCTCAATCTAGTGATGGCTCGGAAACGGAGACAGAAGACAACGCAAACCAAAAAGTGGTCGGTGCAACTGCAGCCAACCAAAATGAACGTCGGCGGCACGTGATTCCTATTAATCTCGACTCATTTGATCCACCATACTGGTGTCAAGAAGTCGATCTAAGTGAAAACCTGAAGGACTGGGACCCAGCATTAACGGCATCAGATGAGGTAATAGTAACGCTAAATACTCGAAACTTATAGGCATAGCGTTTTCCATCCGATCATATCTAAGCTGATCAGTACATTTGATCCATGTTTCATTACCAATTATTTGAGAACTTCGTGGTTTTAGGATTGCCAAATAAATCTGCTATCGTTTCACTTCATCTTTCCCAACTCACCCTGTTTCGTTTTCTTAGATGTTCAGTACTAAATATCAAAGTTTGAAAATAAAACTTTTTTCTTCATTGCTTATGCTGCCAACATAAATTTCTTTATTTATGGGAAGGTGGTCTATCTGCAAAATGCAGCATTTTTATTTATTCATGAACGGCTGGTAACTTATACGGTAGTATGGACCGCTAAGATGAACCACTCGCGAACAAAAACTTAATTCTTTTCCCTGTACATAAAAAATTAAATATGTGACCTTGGTGAGTTTTCACATAAAATAACTTATTATTTTACTCTAGTTTGTGGTAAAATGAACGTTGTTTATACAAGTATTAAAACGCCTTGTATAAAACTTAATGATATATTACTGTCAGAAGGTGAGACTTAATACTTGCCTCCATTGAACAGCTTTTTTCGGCGAACTAACGTGAATGTCTCTGTTCTCGACTTTTAATATATTAACATCCGAACATATATATGTTATCGTTTTATCTTTGCAAAATTATTTTTCGCAGAAATGTAAAATCTGCGTTTTTACATGTTCAAATAGCCTATATTGTTGTGAATAACTCAATTCTCGAACTTGTTGAAATTACGTTACTACATTTTTGGGCCGTTTAGTAGGATATTAGTCTCGTTCTTATTTGCTTTGTATATGGACCTTTAGGGACCTTACCTTCGGGTCCGTCCATCAAGGGAAAAAACTGCACCAACTTCCTACAGGCGGACCTGTTGCTCAGTCAATAACATATATGTAATGGGCAGATTGCACAAACTTTTACCTACAAAAAAGTGTATTGAACATTAAACGTTACTCGTGGTGTCCAGTGCTGGGTTAAGTGATTTAGATTATTATGCTGACACTGCAGGAAACAACAATTCGTTTTCTCTATTTCGAACTTGCACCTTCGGATTTCTAGACCGTTGTGGAGTTAACAGGGATTGGTAGCGAGTCTTATTCCTTTTACGTGCACGAACGCGGTTTTCGCGCCCTCTTCATGCTTATCTTGGAGCTATATAGGAGCAGTCCCCGTTGACTCGATAGGTGTGACAGATTACGCAACATTACTTTAAATTTATTTGTTATCGTAATACTTCATGTAATAATATTAGAAATATATAAAGTTTCAAACATGGCGCCC